ATTAATGGGTGCACGTAGCTTCGTGCTACGGCTCAAGCTATGCTGCTATGTTTGATAGTGCTGTTGCTGTATACTCGTGCTTTGCTACTGTCTACGGTCGCGTGCACGGCACGTCACGGTGACCATGTCGGCCAAACAACATTGTGCATGCACGCGTGGTACCAGGCGCGTGCCCCGTATGGGTTCCTGGGTGCCCGGAACCCCCCTTTTTCGCTCAAAATGCAGGATTTTGCTTCATTTTTTGAAACTTTTCTGGGGGGAGGCCCCCGAACCCCCCCCCCCTTGAACGGCACCGGCGCACGCGCCTGGGTACTCTAGGTGACGTGACACTCTACGTGTCATTAAATGTGACATTCAATGTGTTGGCGAAGTGCGACGTGGCATTCACCATGGCATTTGTATGTTGCGCTCAACATGGGCGTCATGTGACGTTCGCTCGACGCTTGTGGTGGCATAAACACAGTTTGAATTTCCCCGCCTGATTGCCACTCACAAAATACTGTTTGACTGAAGTTATTCTATTCGCTGAGTCGAGAGAGCTCTACAATTGTAGCTCTATCGTTACTGAATTAATTGTTACTGACATTGGACACAGAACAAGAAGGATTGGACTTCATCGTCATCAGACGCACCATTACAACAAAAACGTGAGACTCCTCGAGTGCAGTCAGCCCGCCAAAAACATCATCGCCAAAGGATCAAGCATGCACATCAAAACTGCCAGCACTGCACATCGCCATGGTAAATATGGCGATAGACAAAAAAGGAGAAAATTTACGTGAAACATTCAAACTGAGGTATTTTAGCATTCGCGAACGTTACGTAAGATCGAGTTCGCGTCGACAAAGTGAATAAAAGGGGTGTTGGTAACGCTCATTTCCGGGTAGTCACGGCACTCTGTCGTCGTCCCTCAGACCTTTCTAGACTCTCTTGGCTCCGCCAAGATCCTGCTCTGGCAGTCGACAAGGCTCACACTCCGCTGGCCAGCACTCCCCCGTACCGCAAGTTGCTGTGTGTTGTAGTTAGTGTGTGTGCATGCATGCGTGTGTGCATAGGTACGTGCATGCATGCGTACATGCACGCGTGCGTGTGTGCGTGATGGTAGTTCTGAGATATATTTGGCCACTTCCTGCAGCTTCAGTTGAATAGATAATTAAGTATAGGCAGAAGACACCCACCACATTCCCACTTGTGCTGTGGTTTATTCGCTGTTGAAATTCAAGTAGGTAAATCAGATCGTCAAAAAAGAACTGGGAAGCTGGCGTGTGTCTGCAGGTGCATGTGTGTGTGTGTGTGTGTGTGTGTGTGTGTATGCGCCGCACGCCCTTCTTTGCAAGGGCGTGCGTGCGACAGGTAGTCGAGAAGGCATTCGAGCACCGCTGTAAGGCCTTTCTCGTTTTCATCGATCTCCGCAAGGCGTACGACTCGGTACCACGCGCTGCGCTGTTGCTGGCCCTTGAGGTGTATGGTGTGCCTGGGTCACTCATCCAGCTGATTGACGGCTTCCATTCAGGCATGCAGGCTGCTGTTCGGGTTGATGGTGATGTGTCTGGGAGCATCTCGGTTGAGAATGGTTTGCGGCAAGGGTGCGTTATGGCCCCACTGTTGTTTAACCTGTACTTTGGTCTTGTGTTGGAAGCATGGCGTTCAGCTATAGCAGCAGCTGATGTTAACGGTATGTCCCTGATATCTTCAATCCATGGAAGTGGTAATCTATTTCCCAAGCGAACCCGTCAAACTGGCACGACATCGGTCAACGACCTGGAGTTTGCAGATGATGCAGCACTACTTGCACCATCCCGTGAGTCAGCTCAACTGGCTTTGGAGCTGTTAGCAACGTTGCTTCTTCCTTCGGCTTGACTCTGAGTACAGCGAAGACCAAGTTCGTGGCCGTTGGTGCAAATTTATCATGTGCTGACCGCCTTCCGCTCTTTGTTGGTCCGGAGGAGATCGAAAGTGTCAATTCCTTTGTGTATCTTGGCTCTGTGATAACTGCTGACACCCGCTCATCTGCATATGTGGCCAGAAGACTCGGTAAGGCAGCGGCAGCTTTCGACCTTATGCGCCGTGTCTTTCTTGACCGAAACCTTTCCATCGCCATCTTTACGATGTTTGCGTTCTGTCCACATTGCTCTATGCCTGTGAGTGCTGGACTCCGCTGAAGAGAGACATGGTTGCCATCAACAACTTCCACCACCGCTCTCTCAGGTTCATTCTGGGTGTGTCCCGGCTCGATCAACAGCTGCAGCATGTCAACAACCAGGAGCTGCGAAGACGCTGGGGTGATATGGCACTGCCATCTGATACCGTCAGACACCGCCGTCTGCAGTGGCTTGGGCATGTCGCCAGAATGCCAGATAACCGGCTTCTGAAGCTGATACTGTTTAGCTTCTTCTCAGATACACGCCCAGCCTGTGGGCCACGACTGCGATGGAAAGACCTCGTCGCACGTGATCTTCGTTTCGGTGGCATAGTGAATTGGCTCACTTTGGCCCAGGAT